TCAACTCTTTCTCAACAACAATTCAATCTTTTCTTGAAATTGGATTTCAACTTTCTTTCGTCAGCAGCAACCTTTTTCACACGATTTTTTGATTTCTCTTGAGAATATCCTCGAAGTTTCCAAAGTACATTTATCCTTCAGTAAGCGCATCGATTACTTTCCAGCTCTTTATATGCTATCTCCTTCCTGTGTCCTTTGCCTATCCTCATTCTTTACTCATGTAAATTGAAGCACTTCTCATAAAAGCACTTCTCTTCCTGCAGTATACACTTCCTCCACTCTCTCTAACCTCGCGCTTGCGCAGATAGATCACTCTCCTGCATTGCACTTAGCTCAATCACTCTTCACTTTTGCCCGTAGAGCCTCGTCTCGTCGTTCAGTGCACTCTTTCTGGACCATCTTCTTCCCAATAATCCTGGCATATCATCATTTCGAATTCTTCCTGCACTTGTGCACTCAATCTCCAATACCCTTCGTTGCATATCTGCATATCTTCATTCAGATCTGCTGCCCTGTCCCTCTGGCATAGCAAATTTGCACAAACGCTTTCAATTTTCCTTCTTGACTCAATTTTGTACGAGCGCACTTGACAATCTCTTGTCAGTGACATCACTCTTCACAATCTCTCAACTCAAGATTATCTGGTTCACATCAGTGAACAGTCTTCTAGAGGTCTCGTTTATTATTTTCATCAATTCCAAGAAATAGGCATTCACCTGAATTAACTGATTGAAGATCTCAAGTATTCGTACTAATTCATTTGAACACTTAGCGAAAATCGAAATCCGAACGCAGACGAGAACACACAATGCAGAGTATACGAGAGATGGAACAAAACGGAGGAGAAAGCATGTCGGATCGTCCGAATTTACCTCTTTACAGAGGCTTGGATGTCCTCAGTGCCGCTGCTGCTTCCCAGGAAGAAGATCGAGCTTCTATAATTCACCTCAAAAAAGTCGGAGATGAACAGCAAATATCTGCGACTCCTTTGGAACGCCTAGAGCAGAGCTCGGGCCGTGATGCTGAGAGCACTAGTGGTAGTAAGTCCAAAGACGCTCTCGCGGCCGGTATGAAAATTGCACACAAGACTCCTCTGCCGAGCGACCATAGAGACGGATCAGAAATGTCTCTCGATACAACACTCAGTCCTTTGCATTCTCCACATGTACCGCGGATTACCAAGAAGCAGCTCAACCAGACTTGTCCTTTCCAGCATAATCACTTGATCGGTAGGTTTTGTTTTAATTGTCGATGTATGGAAATGCCATGGGGAGACAGACTTCCAGTGGCTCTCGATACGAACGGCAACAAAATCCAAGTCCCCTCACAAGGTGCATTGCTAGAGGGTGTAAGAAACTTGACCGAACCCTACGAGATTGCCCAGCTTGCTTTGCTTGTCGAATTTCGCATCATAGAACAAGATCTTGCTACAGTTCCTGGTCTTGTCGCAACTTTCAAATTTTTTCCACATTTGCATGATGTTGCTCATAGAATTGCAAATATGGTGAAAGAACTTCGAACATTGGCCGATGAAAGCGAGAGTGAACGAGTACCACAATGGTTCGATACACTCCATCAGTTATTGAGAAATCCAAATTTGACCCACGACCAATACTTTGCACAGATAACTGGAGACTGGAACTTCCAAGCAAAGAATTCAGCACCACTCATCCAAAAAGCTCGAACCTCGTCACGAGTATTCACCGGTATTCCAGTAATGCTCACCAGAGAAGATGCGATCAACTATGTTAACAATCGCGACGGGCGTAGCGAAGCTGAGGCTCGTGAACTTATGGATCATCTCAATAGGAACGAGAGCAGAGGTCCAGGATATGTTCAATTCACGTTCGACTTTGTAAGTTGGTTAAGGGAAGGAGCGCATAGCACTGGTAAATGCGCGCCACAATGGAGTCCTCTTTATGCTCAAGAATACTACAAGCATGTGTATCCCGCTCCTGCAATGACTCCCAGAACCAAAAACAATGGCGCACGATCCCGCAGTCGATTGGATTTCTCGATTCGTCGTAACCCGACGCCCAAAACACCACGTTGTAGCGAAGAAGCCTCTGACGTTGAGCCTTACGATAGCAATGATGACGAAGAAGAGCTTGAAGGAGCTTACTTCCGTAAGCTTCCAGAAGTCAAGAAGAATACGCCAGGTCGTGCCAATGTTACGTGGCGATTTGTCGAAGGAACAGACATCACAAATGCACAACTCGGCAACCCTGATCCTAGCAAGTTCTACTTGACTCGTCAAAATGTCGATGATCCCGAAGAGGTTGATCTCCGCCAATATGCACAAATTGCCGGATTTGACTGGAATAATCCTGCCGATATCAAGAAGCTCAATAAGGCTAGGGCTCAGAATCGTAAGCGTACCCATGGTAATATCGCCGAAACACGAATTCCATGGACACAGTTAGAGAAAGATAAGCTCCAAGAGGAGGTACAAGATGCGATTAGGGTTGGTGAAACCAGACATACGATTGACTGGGATGAGATTGCAGATCGTCTCAGACAGAGATTCGATGGTTTTGTGCAGAAGAAAGGATCTAAGTTGGCACCAGGAGTCGAGAGAGAACCAAAGAATGGCAAGAAAGATAGAAGTAAGTCAAAATTTCTCTGATGTTGTTGTATGATTAAAGAATCTAGAACTCGGAAGTTCCGGGCAACTATCATGGATTCACTTTATTCTTGAAAAACGATAGCTAATAACCCATTTTACAGCTCTCAAGACCAGTCGCAGCGACCGCGTAGGTTACAATCGCACAGGCTCTGCAACCGAAACACAAGCATTAAAGTACCCCGATATTCTCAAGTTAATTAACGATGCCACTGGACTTGGTGGAAAGGGAGGACGTGGCGTACTTAGAGGTCCTCGTCGACTCTCGCAGGCTGCTGATGACGAGAAGAAAGAATCAAACAGTCGACCAACAAAGCAAGCCACGGACAGCCTCCACCGCAGCTTTTCACAGGCTATCGATGATGAACAAGATGAGGATGACGATCCAACAGCAAAGAAACAAAAGAGTGGTAGGACTTCTGCAATTATGTATAATGCGCAGACCAAACAACCTAATCCGCTGGCAAAGCGAGCTCTGAACCTTCCCAGCCAAAGCTTCTTGCCCATGTTTGATGACGTATTCGATGATAGAAACGATCGTCCATCGAAGAAGCCAAAGACAATCCACCGTCGCTATTCAAGCAGCCCGCCACCACGTATACTGAAGAAGCACTACGATGATGACGAGGATAACGGACCACCAACTTCGCCATCCCGACCATTTGCATTGAACGGTGCGTTTGGTTCAAGGCTTCCTAAGAGTAGTGCAAAGCAGTTTGACACCACTTTAAGCAGGAAATAGTCTGTTTCCAAATTCATACCAGTGGACCTTCTACTCCGTCTTGGTGTCAGACATGCTTTCTCGCGCTCCTTCTTCACGCATAGGGGCACCAAACAATGTTCTCGATATTTTGTCTTGCGCTTCAATAATTTCCAGTTTTCAGTTGAGATAATGAGAAATACAAGACTTCCACTGCAGACTTTCATTATGTACGACTACTTTTCCTCGACGATATGAATTCAGCACAATTTTCGCAGCGATTCAGTTTACGAAAACCACACGCGAACGTTTCTCCCAGCTATTTTCGCGCAACAGGGGACACCTCTTATGAAAAATGATGACACCAAACCCACACATTCGGCACTCGGCAGCTCTACACAGCACAAAATTTCTTTTCTTTTAGGGCTCAGCGATACAGTATGGTACATAGTGATATGGATATGGTAAACATTACACAAACTGATAATTTCGATGGCGTACATACAGCTCAGCTCTTATTGTTTTTTTTTGATGCAATTGGGTTGGGATATGTATGATACCGAGAGATTATAGAGCACTCTTACGACCTTGATGTAATTTTCTTTTGTTTATTTGGGTTTAGGTTTAGGTTTAGGTTTAAGTTGTGCTTTATGTTTTGATAGCGTAGGATAATCAAATCGATAAAGAAATTTTTGATCCAAATTTGTGATGTGCATGATGTAAACACGTTGTATTTTTACCTTTAGCGTGTCAGAGAAATAATGATGTCTGTATAAACACAACCCCTTTTCGTCCGCTTATGCACCCCGCTTTTGTGTAACGTCAAGTACCTATTCAGTCCTTCCACTTTGCTGGAATCTCTTCCATGCAGCTACTTGACACTTCGATCTTTCGAAAAAAAAAGGTGTGCGTTTCTATCAAATTGGGAAAATCTTATAGACCCACGGTGTATATATCCACGAGAAACGAACGATAATGATCGAGACCCGTAATGAAAAGTAGAGTGGTAAAGATATGTAATTACATTTCAATATGCAGGCTGGGAATTTTAGAAAAGTTTCCAGAGCATGGAACGTTATGTAGATGATTTATTACATATTTACTTGGGATTACGAGATATTGCGACGGCGGCTGAAACTTGGAAGTGGAGGTTGTGTTGAAATAGCAGCGGGAGATAAAGTACGACCTGCTAGGAGAATTTGGGGGTTAAAAGTATCGGATTCTAGAGAGGAGAGAAATTGTTAGTGGAAATTGGAAGGCTGGGTGTGAGGTGTGAGAGAGATGTTGAATTTCATCGCAAGAATATAAAATTGAGGAAAGAAGACTTGGGGAAGATGGGGGAGGAAGTAAGATATACCATATTTAATGGGGAGATATATGCGTGGAATCCCCAAACTACCCCTAAACGGATGATAGCGAGATCAATCATCCGCAGTTCGTTCACGGTGAGTTGTAATAGTAGGATTTGGAAATTTGTATTATATTTTAAACAGCTATATACAAGAATGTATGATTATGCGTGCGGTGAGCTCTGCGCGGTAAACTCTATTCCTATTCCTATTCCCATTCCTATTTCTCTTTCCCTTTCTTCTTCTTGGGGTTCATGTGAGTTCATGCATCTATCTCTTCCTTCACATATATACTTACATCTAAACATACAAACACCATCATAATCTCCTAATAATCATCCTCTTCCTCATCTTCCTCGTCGTTGTAATAACAGACATCATCATCGTCATCATCGTCGTTATCGTCATCGCCAGCAGTACTAGAAGATGCGGCGGCGGCGGAAGTAGTGGTTGTGGAGATGGGGATGGAGGAGTTGGTGAATATCAAGGTTGGGACTGCGGAGGAGAGGGTTTGAGAAGTAATTGTGGAGATAGAGATGGAGGAGTTGGTGTAGACTATCGTTGGGGCTGCGGAGGAGGTTTGGGAAGTAATTATGGTTGTGTTGGTTGGAGAGAGGGTGGGGATTAAGGTTGTGGTTGGTGTGGAGAGGATTTCGGAAGTACTGGTGGTTGTATTGGTTGTATTGGATGAGGAGATGGTGGGGATTAAAGTTGTGGTCGCTGCGGAGGGGATTTCGGAAGTACTGACGGTCGCGTCGGTCGAGGAAATGATGACGACGGAAGTACTGGCAGCGGTTGAAGGAATCTCAGAAGTACTGGTGGTTGCGGCTGCAGATGGAATTTCTGAAGTACTGGTACTGGTGGTTGTATCCGCCGAAGGAACGATCACAACTGAGGTACTGGCAGCAGCTGAAGGAATCTCAGAAGTACTCGTACTGATGGTTATTTCCGATGAAGGAATAGTGACGACTGAAGTACTGGCAGCAGCAGATGGAGTTACAGTCGAAGTATAAACGACTTCAATCGTAGACGTAACTGTCTCGTAAGAAATGTCTGTTTGTAACGCAGTGCTCGTGACAACACAAGGATTGGATGTATATTGCACAATGTTGAAAACGCTTGAAGCAGCTGGTGCTTGAGTAACTGGTCCATTATTCAAGAAACATTGATTGAGGGCACCAATAGTGGTAATAACAATTCCGTTACATGAACTGGCAGATGTTTTCAGATTGTTGAGAGCATTGCAGATGGATACACAGATTGAAGTGGCCGCAGCCCCAACAGGTTCGACATAGGCACGAATGACGGTTCCACCAACGAGTGATGCGCCGCATTGCTGAGAATAATAATTGCCTCCGGTCAAGGACCAAACTGCGCCGGCCGAGCAAGTGCCTTTTGGGATTACACTATCTACATTACAGGTCGTCGCTGTAGTGATAACCGGATAGGCAGTGGTAATGGTGTTTGTGACTGTACTGAGGGTGGTCGATGTGACAGCAACTTCTGAAGGACTGACAGCTTGTCGTGGGGCGACGACAAGAGCCTGACTCAAGCCGGTTAAGGCAGAAAGAACGATTAAAACTCTCATCTTGAATGACTAAGAATAGTTTAAAGGAAAGACAGATATAAACAAAGATAAATGAGTGGTTGGATTTAAAGAGAGGAATGGATATGAGATATCTAAAGAGAGATGATCTACATCTTTGTATAAAAATGATTGTGGGGAACCAAGTTCAGCTCTATAGTCCCAAGGAAAACAATAACATTTGCGCTAAGTATAGATAGTGCAATACTACTAGTATGCGAGCACGTCCTAGTCCCTTGGAGAGCAGAGTAAGATTGTTTGCGGCGCGAGCCGTGCTTTCTTGCCACGAGGTAAGCATAGCATTTGTATGTTTGTACACATTACATAAAGTCTCCTGCGGTATCGTGAGTTATTTGTTGTTCTGGCCAGGATAACACCCGAGAGGATACCTTCTCTGGACATCAATTCGTTGCGTTTTCGATTCTTTCACTGCCTCCTAGAAGTTACTAGAGCATGTAGCGAACATATGCGGACCCAACAGACAACGCGACCCCTGACTAGTTACCTGTATCCCGCTTTGAAGCTCTTCTCTATTTTCTTAGCCTCCAAACAACGGATGAACAATCCCATTTGAAGCGCCGACACAATCGCTTACAATGTTAAAACCTTCATTATTTCCTAATCCGTCTCTAGCTTCTATCCATCCTCAATGATCCGAAGAAAGAATACCATAGGAGAAGTGGGTTAATTCGTGAATGTTCACCAGAATGGGATATCTGTGGATCTGGGGCTGATTGTGGCTTGCTCATTCATTGCTCTTTAGTCCGTTTTGGTGGGAGTAGGAGAAATTTTTAAAATTGCAATACCTTCCAAGGTTTGTCCCGCGTCTAGATTTTTCGTTTGTTTCCCCTGAATCTCCTCTCCACGATTCGTTGGGCGATCAAAGCGCTGGGATCGCCGTGATTCGTCGATCTTTGCATCTTGAGGCTGTGATTGGCTTGTTGTGAGAGGTGATACTCCATTCCATGATCATGTGACTATATCCCCTCGATATAAATGTATGGGTCGTGTTTAAAATTCAAGGCCTTTTTAAGCTTAACGAAGGAAAAAAGCTCCGGATGGAAATAAAGATAACTGAGTAAAGACGCTAGTTTGTCAAGGAACGAGCTTCAGGCAGGAGAATCTGAAGATGTCACGTTTCGGCTGAGATTCGGAATGAGGTGCATGGACATTCATTCTAGCTCACTTCAATCCGGACATTGAATGAACTTTGTCTTTTGATTTCGAGACCGACTGGACCACGTTTTCGTTTCCGAGTGCAAAATACTAATTAATCCTTCGCGATGAATACTAGTGATTCAGCTGCTCAAATGCTGCGCCATAAATATGAAAGTTCTAACGAGAAAATTCAACCATATACCAATAAAGAACCCAATCGCGCTCAACTACCATTATCTAAACCCATCTTTGTACATATCTGCACCCTCTCATCGTTAGACCAATCTCGCCATACCGAATTGAGTCCTTCAAAATAGCAAAACCCCATAAACCCTAAGAATTAAGCCGTGAATGGTTGCGAGGGACGATCTTGTGTTAAATTTGCTCAGGACCCATAGTGTGGCAGTTCCATTATTGTAGATGTCCAGGAGTACATTTAAGAGAGAAAGAGTAGTGAAAGTTTCAATACAAACGTCAATGGCCATCGAATGAGAAACTTTTATGTATCGTACTGATTTGAAATACTCATTGACTCTTCTCCGAGTTCCTACGTGTCATAGGATGGACATTACCCGAGGGTTTCTTGCCATCAGCTTGGCCTGATTTTCTACGCTTCATGAGAGGCTCATTATCCGAAGATTCATCAGAACCATCCACCTGCATCTTATCGGTTCGTGTGGAAGAAGATTCAGCACCTGAATGCTCTCCCTTATCCACCATTTGCATTTCAGTATCGGGCGCGGCGCAAGCAGTCGTGCCGGCCCTGATGTTTGAAGGAGGATCTTGATGGGCACCGTGGATTATCTTAAGCACCTCGTCTACAGACTTGCGCTTGCTGGGGTGTTCTATGCTGTTTCGAAGTAATAAGTCAATATCACCAAACTTGGCAGCCTGGTTCATACAGCCAGATGCATTCCGATCGGAACCGGTTCGATCTTTTCTCATCTCGCAGCATCTTTTGGTTTTGTAATCTATTCGTTGAGTCCCGGCGTTCCATTTACTTGGTATGGCAAGTGCGGAGCCTTGTTTTTGTGTGACTTTTTCCAGGTCGACGTTGATGTTGTGAGCAACTTGCTCCCATGGCATATCATGCTTTGTGTACTGCAGGTCAATGTTAGCAAATTTGTGCAACATAGCAATGCTACATACTACTTAGTATGAGTGGGAACACTCACTCCGTTTTTGAGACCTTTTATTACTTGATGTCTCAAGAGATCCTTCTCAACTTGCGACCAAGCTAATCGAGGCGCGGTCTTTGGCCCATTGGTTCGCAGGATGATTTGATTCCTTCCTCTATTCAAGGCATGGATAGCTTGCTTATCACTCCAATCAAAACCAGCGATATTTGGATACTCTCTGACGTTTATGACGCCTGGGTCCTTGCGAAGCTGACGAACCATGAAAAACTTTGACGTGTCCGGTGTAGCCAAACAAGCAGGCCTCAAGTCCTGTCCTGGGACAAACTGCCAAGGAGACATTTGGCGTTTGGTTTTGGAACTCCCAACTTCATCCTCGTATTCATCATCATTATCGTCGTCTACATCGTCTCCATCGGCTCCATCGCGACTAAGGAACAAAAGCTTTTTACCCTTTGGTATGTTGTCAGTGTTATCATAACCAAGGTCATCATCTTCCTGCTCCGGATCGTCATCTGCGATGGGTAAGGTAACTAGTTCATTGCCTCTCGAATCATTTTTAGATGCTGCTGGCACTACTTTAGGTCTGCGATATCGTGCTTTGAATCTGGCTACTGTCCAATCCGGATTCAATAGAGCTTCGTGCAATATATTCCACCATCTTACTAAGCCTCTATCTAGAGAGTCGGGTGACGCCATGGCTGCAAAAGAGATATCTGCAACGGCATGGGCAGCAGCCTTTATTCGTCCTTGTTCTATCGTAGGATTAATTTCGACAGCCTCCTTCCATTTGTTTTCCAAAATTGCCCATGTCGCCATAGCCACCAAACTCATCTCATGAGCACTATCGACTTGAACGGCTTGTAAGATTGTGCCTTTTCGCCCCACGGAAACTGGCATTTTATTATATCGAGAAATTGGCATAAAACTGCCCCAGGGCATCTTCATTCCTTTGCAGATAGTGCAATACTGTCCAATCGCGTGGCTTTTAATGTCTCCAGAGATGCATGGTGGGCCAACTTCTGGATATGGCGTCGTGAGCTGTCTCGGCTGATTTCCTGCCTGCATTTATTGGTCAGCATCTACTAGTGAGGATATGGTGATAGGGTAAGTGGAAATGCTGTTGTAAATCTTTCTCATCATAGAAAAGACCAATTTCTGAACTCAATGATAGCTTGGGGGAGAGCCCTTCAGATGGAAGTAGTAAATATGGCAATATCAGTCTCAACGCATCCGCTAACTAGGCTATGAATACGCCGAGATATATGGCTTTTCGAAAATTGAGGTGATAACCGAAACACCCAGTAGACATTGATTGTGTGGAAAGGGGCGGGCTATTTATGGTTCTAATTTGTAATGATGAGAGTGTTGTTGGCTGATAGTTCGACGACTGAGGATCCAGTACCAGTGCTGAGGTATGACTGTGATAGCTCATGTCACGAAAAAATAAGGCACAGGGCGTGGCTAAATCCGAGGGCGGAAGCACCCCAATTAATGAGTCCGCTATAAATGGACCTGCACATGGAAGACAATAGAAATTTATTGACTCAAAGATCACACTATATGTGAATATGAAAGATAAACATACCTTTCTGTTGTTTGATTGGTTTCCTGAGAAACCATAAAGGTGTATCGATGCGACAAGGAAGCGACCAAAAGTGCAGCCGGGGACAATGAATCTTTCGCCAAGAAAGGAGGAGGAGGGTGGCAAGATAATATACTCTTTGCAGTTTTTTGCGGTCTTCTAGATCAAACAATCGCGGTTAGTATGCTGAAAGAACCAAACAAAGTGTGCAACTTACGGAGGGGTGTATGTTTGTGGGATTGGAAGGAATCTTTGAAGCTGCTGAATGCAAATAAGTCGGGCAAGCAAGCTAGGAAAAGCCCACAATTTCTTCTTAGTAGTGCTGAATGTTAGGACGGCAGGCTTTGTCAAAAGCGAGAGCGACAAAACAAGTTGTAGTGATCAGTTAATAGACGCAACCTGCGAGGTCTCATATGATTCCTGTATCTGGCTCCAAAAGTTGAGATTCTTTGGCAGCAAGAGGCAAAGGGTATAGAGTAAAACTGATAATCAAGATACAGAAAAGAAATGAACAAAGGTTCCTGTATCTGTGAAGTGTGAATCAAGAAAGTGAAGATTGTCGTAACAGAAAGTGAGTGTTGTTGTCCCAGAGACGAAGAATTTAGCATATGAATTTTTTTTTTTGATCGAATTTGGCGGAATGACAGAAATATCACCCAAGTTTCCAGTTTCTGTACAAGAAGCTCTCTCAAAAGATAGAATACATATGATCCTTCATCGAAAGGCTTCACTCTTGTCTTGTGAATATTAAGATAAATTTCAAACATTCGTACAGCTCGGGTTTAGAGCTCGGGTTTAGCCGAGGTTAGGGCCAAATCTCATCTAATTCAAATTGAATTGTTGAACTTCAAGCAGGTTTCTGCTTACTATTGGATAGAAGATTTTTGCATAGGTTTTTAGATAGATAGCCTTATCTACAAGGCGGAGATGGTTTAACAAGATGTTGATATCTAGTAGATAGTTGTTTTCATTTCTCGGTTGTGCTGTTTGTAGATTATTTTATAGGAAGATCTTACATCCATCAATCTGGTCATCTCTTTGACCGCAATCCACCATCCATTTGATTCTCATCCATCTATGGTATTCAATCTATCTCTCCATTTTTCATCTTTATCTTCATCATCATTGTTTATTGACCGAAATTCTTATGCCGTCTTCAGCTCCTAAAATTAGAAAGGACTTTAAGATAGGTACATTGAGGAAGCATGGATGTTCGTTCTTTCTTGATAAATGCTTGGCAGAATATAATTGTTGAAAAGACTCCTCTGCAGACATGTTAAATATGCATGTAATGTTTGTTTATGCAAACAAAGTCTAACATAAGCTGCTATCTTGATTAGAAACTTGCAGGTAATCTTATGGTTTGTCATTATTTTGTCAGTATCATTCTTTGTTCTCCATCTCTTTATAAGTCCTTGAACATTTGAGCTATCTGCATGTTATTTGATACTAATCGGCGTCTTGAGTCTTGAACAGGAACCAAATCAAACCACACACTCAACTGCCCCCGGACCCGAAACTCCCTGACTAGTCGAACTCCTCCACACGATAGCTCCTTTATCTGAAGATATCTAAATTCTACATAATGAATCCTTCATCTGTGAACCTCCACATTTTATACGACTATAACCTTTTATTAGATAGAAAAGAATGTACAAGGTGAGGGAGAACTTGATGAATGACGACTGAAATTCCACAACACATGTTCAAGTGGATCAGGCAAGAGGCGAGAGGAGGGGATTAGATCGGGAAACGGCAGGAGTGATGGAATTTGATACATACATGTATTTCCCTTGGGAATAGTTGCACATCGAGCGTCGTTAGATAAGCGGGAGAAGCGAACTGAAGCAGTAGCACTATAATGATATACACCTGGAGGGATCTGGGAGGAAGCATACCCAACTTGAACATTATAACTATAATAGACGGTTCTATCTGGAAGATCGAATCAACAACAGTATCTCATATCTCATAAAAACTAGGTAAAAAAGGGGGAAGCCAATTGAGCAAATCCAAGCGAGACTGCAGGAAAAGGAAGGTACGATGAAGTTCAACATTATCTTCTGCCCTCGTAACGCGATTTGCGGATTTTGAAAGCTACAACCATATCAGGCTCGGGAATCCAGGCAAATGAGATAGATTGATTGATTGATTGATTGAATTTATGTCCACCTTCAGTCTAAGACTATATAGGACGGCTAGGTCCGATGGGCTTAATAGGTAATTTTTTGATTTACAATATTGATTATAATCTTATTAGGGAAGTGAAAATAAATGTTGGGGAATAGTGCTTGTTCATTATACGCATTGCATATAATAAGAAAATTCTGACAATCAAGAAATTGTAAGGAGGTCAAGTTCTTCTTTTATTTCCTTAATTGCTTTTTCTTTATTCTCTTCTCCCTTTTCCTCTTCCATTACTATTCCTTCTTTTATTACTTCTTATTCAAGAATCCTTGCTAGATGCTATGCCCTTGTAGCAATTTTGGTGATATTGATAAATTTAATAATTAATTCAATACCTATTTTGATATGCAATAGGAATTATATAGTGATTTTTGATAATAATTTATTCTGGAATATCTCTTTTCTTTCTGTTTTGTATATAGGATAGCTAATTAGGAGATGTTACAGTATCTTAATATTACTGTATATATATTTATTATTGGAATAATTGAATCGATATAGATATGATTTGATATATCCATAATTTAATTTCAATTGGAAGAGTGCACTAACAGTATTTCAACTAGTTCCAATTGATAGCTTAATTTTCAATCCGATTTTCTATGAAAATAGCTTTGAATAGATTAATACCAATTGATTGGATCTGAGTTTATATTGATTGAAAATTGAACTTCATTGATTGAAAAAGGATTCTTTAATTATTATTCCTAACAATCCAAAACTGGTTTTATTCGAAGTGGATTGTATTGTAATAGTTTTTTTTGCTAATTTATCTGCTAGCTTGTTTCTTTTAATTAATATATACCCTGGTACCCAATTCAAGGATATTTCAGATCCTTTAGCTATAATGGTTTTGGCTACCTTAATTACTTGAATTTGATATGCTTGCTTTGAGTAATCTAATAGTGTTTTTAATTGAAAAAGACTTATTTAATTATCTGAATAAATCTTGAATTTCTTTTTACTATTAGCAATTAAGCTAGCATATTCGATAGCTCGAATAACTTTATATAGCTTTCTATTATAAACTAATTGATTACTTTCAATATTAATTTATTTTTAATATGAAATCTGATTATTCGATTGTATTAATATATCCCTATACTAATATCTATTCTCTTTTTAGTAAAAAAAACATCTATATAAATGTAAATAATATTTTAATCTCTATGTTTAAAAATAATATTATAGAGTATTGTTGTATTTCTTTTAAAGTCTAATTAATATTAACTTTGAAAGGGATTTCCTTTTTCTATAAAGAAAAATAAAAATGAATAATCTTTTCGAAAAAAAATAAATCAAATTTTTTATCAATTAATTTCCTAATTCTATTAAATTGAATTAACTTATATAGTTTTCTTTAAGGAGTGTTGATCGCTTTCCGATTAGTGTATTGATATACTAGAGTAGCTTTTTCAATATTGATTAGATATTTAAATAAAAGTTTTATTAATCGAAAAGTATATTATTTGATATTTGAGTCTAATCGAATATTTGCTGGTTTTAATTCCGATTCGATTTTTATTAAACGACTTAAAATAGTTTTGAAACTTCTAATATCTTTTGAAAAGTTAGATTTTGAAGAGCTTATATTTTATTCTTAAAATAAGCTTTTTCTCTTTATTAAATCATTGATTTATAATTAGCTATATTAATTATACAAGTTATATATAATTATCAAAGAGCTTTAGGATTTAGGTTTTTTTCAATATTTGTTAGTCGAGTTATTCAATAAAAGATTCCTTTTGCTTGTGTGATTCGGATATTGATATGTTGATTGAATTTGAGATTTGGATTGAATTATATATCTAATTATCTAATTAAAGATTGAGGTTTAATAATATTTAAATTGAATAATATAATTAAAAAGTTTTGATTAGCTTGAATATTAAGAAATATATTAATTCTATCTTTATTAAATTGAATTGAATTGTACTTTTCGAGTTGAATTTGTAGATTTGCTTTATAACTTTTTCAAGAAATTTAATATTCTTTTTCCATAAGAATAAGTTTATAATTAAAGTAATATTATTAATATAGAAAAGAAATTTAATTGATTTTGAAAAGAATAATTCTCTAATATATATTAGAAAAAGGATTGGAGAAATTAGACTGCTTTGTAATATTCTGATTGAAATAGACTTGAAGAATTCGATTTGATTATTAAAAAAAAGTTTTAGCTGTTTTTATTATAGAAAAGATATCACGGGGGCAGGCGGGCGGGATAGGGTTTCTAATAACTTTACCCTAATCTGGCAAGTAAGTTATACTGATTCGGGTAATAGATTCAGATTGA